GCCACCACCGCCCGGCTTGGTAATCTTAATTATTTAATTACATATTTATTTGCTGGAGCACAAATACTATGATGCGTATGTGGAGGTCAAATGATAACGTTCATACCTTGTGGGTTTTAGGGATTGAACTCAGATCATTAGGCGTGGTGGCAGGTACCTTTATCCACTGAGCAATCTGGTGGGTCCCTCACATGATGATCTTGGAGCCTTTCTCTCCAGGCCTTACCCTGTCATACCCATCCTCAATCGATGGTATGTGAGGACCTGCTAAAAGCTTTAAGATAACTAATGGCATTTTCTCCTTCTTTCTGTGTCTCTGGTGATTTAGGCCTGGAAGAAACGCTGGTTTATACTGCGGAGCGGCCGGATGAGTGGCGACCCAGATGTTTTGGAATACTACAAGAATGAGCACTCCAAGAAACCCCTGCGGATCATCAACCTGAACTTGTGTGAGCAGGTGGATGCAGGCCTGACCTTCAACAAGAAAGAGCTGCAGGACAGTTTTGTGTTCGATATCAAGACCAGTGAGCGTACTTTTTACCTGGTGGCTGAGACAGAGGCCGACATGAATAAGTGGGTCCAGAGCATCTGCCAGATCTGCGGCTTCAATCAGGCTGAGGAGAGCACAGGTATGAGAGCAAGTACAGCTCTTTCCGAGAGGACTCTACCAAGACCTCAGGTTCCTCCAGATAGGAAAGCTGGCCCTAGTTAAGATTTTTTTTTTTTTTTTTTTTGGCACAAGTGATTGGCAAATGGGGAGAGTATAACAGAGTTGACCTGATATAGAGAGACCTCCTGGTTCTAATACTGCTCAAATGGAGAATCAAGAAAGGTGAGGGTCACGATGATGCTAATGATGTTTCAGCATCATGTTTCAAGTCATGATGATGTCTTGATGCTTCCAGCATTTGTCAGCTCACAACCATTTCTCCCACTCCCTGTTTAACACACCTTGCCACCTGTCAGCCATGCCATAGGAAAGATCTTCCTTGGATCACACCTCTGGACCATTTCTATCTGTTCTGCTCCATCTATTTCAGACCATCTTACAGTTTACTTGCTTGTTTCTTAGGCATCCTTTGTGGTTATTGATACATAGTCTCGTGTTCCTTTATATACACTTGAGGACAGATAAAAGGATGAAATGCTGAATTTATGTTTGAGTTTTGATAGCCCTTTGTTAAAAAGTACCTCAACTTGTGTATCTATGTTTTATGTGTGGGAGGAATGTGAATACACATCCATGCACATTTAGCAGCCAAAGGAGCATTGGGTATCTTCTTCTATCACCCTCTGCCTTATTCATTGATGTGTAAATATATTTTCTTCTTAAAAAAAAATCTTCCCACTAATTTCAGAACTTGCTAGTATCTCATATTTGTAAGTCATAACTGTGACTTTTTAATTACAAAAGTTTTATGACCACTATAACAACATCCCTAAGCACAGTCTCTTTTTTTGTAGTTTTTTAATTATTAAGAGATTTTCTATTCATTTTACATACCAACCACAGATTCCCCTCTCCTCCCTCCTCCCTCCTCCCACCCCTCAGCATTCCCCTCAACCTACCCCCATTCCCACTTCCTCCAAGGCAAAGTCTCCCATAGGGAGTCAGCAGAGCCTGGTACATTCAGTTGAGGCAGGTCCAAGCCCCTCCTCCCTGCACCAAGGCTGCAAAAAGTGTCCCAACCATAGGTACTAGGCTCCAAAAAGCCAGTTCATTCACCATAGATGGTTCTGATCCCACTGCCTGGGGGCCCCCTAAACAGTTCAAGCTAAACAACTGTCTCGCCTATCCTGAGGGCCTAGTCCAGTACCATGGGGGCTCCTCAGCTATTGGTCCATAGTTCATGCGTTTCCACTAGTTTGGCTGGTTGTCTCTGTATATTTTCCCATCATGATCTCGATGTCCCTTGCTCATAGAATCCTTCCTCTCTCTCATCGGTTGGACCCCTGGAGCTCGGCCTGGCACCTGGCTGTGGATCTCTGCATTTGCTTCCATCTGTCACTGGATGAGAGCTCTATGATGACAGTTAGGGTATTCAGCCATCTGATCACCAGAGTAGGCCACTAATCTTCCCACTAATTTCAGAACTTGCTAGTATCTCATATTTGTAAGTCACAACTGTGACTTTTTAATTACAAAAGTTTTATGACCACTATAATAACATCCCTAAGCACAGTCTCTTAATAAAATGCAGCAAGTATCTGCATGCATGTAATATTTTTAGCATTAAACGGTGTGGTTGCCTCAGTAGCAAAATAGAAAAGGAGATTGACCCAGATTACCTTGAATGACTTACGATCTAGGAAAGTAGGACAGAATGCATATCTTGTCAGAAGCAGTGTGTTGGGCTCACAAGAAAGAGCCTCGGGTAAGGATCTGCTGCACAAGCCTGACAGCCTGGACTCTGTCTCAGAGACTCACAGGAAGAAAGAACTAGCTCACAGGAATGTCCTCTAACCTCAAACCCACTGTGGCATTCATAATAACAGTAATTATTAGTTGGTTATCATTTTGTGGTGTTGGAAACTACACACAAAGCCTTTGTGTCTAGGTCAGAACTACTACTCAGCCGTAGCCCCAGCCCTTATCATTTTTTTCTACAAAGTAAGTGTAATTTACACAGATCTAGAAATAATTCAAAGGTTCTTATTCTTCATGTTAAATTCTATCATGCAAAAGGATAGCTTAATTCTTTAAGTAAATGATACACAGGTGATAATTCAAGATTATAACTCATAAATCACAGAAAGACACTTTAATTCCTTCTACTATAACCGATTCAAAAAGATATGAGGTTATGTTTACATCACTGAGCTGGCTAGTAGTGAACATTTTACTAGTTTATTTTATAGTTCCAAACCATTACCATGTAATTTGAAATGTTAACAATTTAAATGTCTAAATATTCTAAATAGCAAACACCTGTTAGCAGTGTGCACTAAAACATTCGTGGTTATCAAAAACAGTGACTGTTCATACCAAATAATTAAATGTAAAATATCATACCAGGTCCTCTCAGAGAAACACAGAAATAATGCTGAAGGTCTCACTGTTGTTGCTGTTAATTTATAATTTGGAAGAATGAAATAAAAGCCAGAAGTCAGAAATGCATGACTAGATAGTTACAGTACAGTGCAGTTAGTGACAGAAAACTGGAAAACAGCTCCCAGAGCAAACAGCCAAGGGTCTGGGAAGAGGAGGAGATGGTTCAGTCGGTCAAGTATTTGCTTCACAAGCGTGAGGACCTGCGTTCAGTGCACCACGTAAGGAGCTGATGGGGCAGCAGTGCTGCAGAGAGGGAAGGGAGAGCCCTGAAGCCTGCCGGCAGGCTAACCAGCCTGGCCAAATCAGTGAGAGGCCCTGTCTCAAAAATGAGGGAGACGGTGACCAAAGAAGACACCTAACAGCAACCTCTGCTCTCCACGTGTATAATGTGCACACCCATTTACATGGATGCACGTGCAAACACACACACACACACACACACACACACACACACACACACACACACACGTATTTGGGCATGGTGGCTCATGACTTTAATCTGAGCACTCAAGAAATCAAGGCAGAAGGATTGCATAAGTTTGAGGCCAGCTTGGGTAACAAGAGTTAGACTTGTCTCAAAAATCAAAAAGAGGCTAGGGACAAAGCTCAGTGAGTCAGTCCTGATGACCTGAATTCAATCCCCAGAACCCAAGCTGGATATGACATTGAGTATCTATAATCATAGCACACCTATAGGAAATGGGACCCAGAGATAGGAGAGTCATTTGGAAGTGAACAGCTTGCTAGCCTAGCATATGAACCTCTGAAATGGCAGAGTGAGAGGAGGCAAATTCACACACACATACACACGCACTCTCAAAACAAGTTTTGCCTCAAGAAACAATCCCTCTACCCAAGGCTCAGGAACATCACAGAAGAGGTGGGGTAGAAAGATTGCAAGAGCCAGAAACCAGAACATCTACTTCAAGATAGTGTCTTCTCTATATGTAAGGAAAGCTGCAGCCATGAATTCTCAACAATATGGTCACCTAAACAAGGCCTGCATAGTGATAGCACATGGCTGACATGCCAGCAGGGATCGGGGAAACCTCACAAAGCCCCAACCCTAAATGAAAACTACAGTTAAATAATGACCACAGCAAAAAGAAGAATCAGTCTTCCCCAGGAATGAGCTCCCTAGTTGGTTATCTATTATAAAGTGGTCAGCCCTAAAAATATATGCATATGAGTAACACTAAATGGACTCAGCAAGTTGTATTTATATTTATACACACACCCGTAACAATAATTAAAGAGAAGGGGTTATAAATTTGAGAGAAGGGGTAGAGAGTCACACGGGAAGAGTTGGAGGGAGAAAGGGGGGAAATGATATATCAACTGGGGCTGGGCACCCCCAGTCCGTTGTTCTCTTCACTTTGAAAAGTTGTAGCTTTCTACAGTGTTCTCTGTTTACTACAAAAAAACAAAAAGTTCTTTAAATGAGCACTATACTTATCTGTGGGTAAAAGGATAAGTACTTAGAATGCAGTTAAATTTATGCTACTTTGGCTGGTCAGTGGTGGTGCACACCTTTAATCCCAGCACTCGGGAGGCAGAGGCAGGCAGATCTCTGTGAGTTCAAGGTCAGCCTGGTTTAGAAAGTGTGTTCCAGGACAGCCAGGACTATACAGAGAAACCCTGTCTCAAAAAAAAAAAAAAAAAAAACAAACAAAATACATTCACACACACACACACACACACTAGTTTGGAAAAGTGGCAGTATTAAGTTCTCTAGGTTCTGTGGCCTCACCAGCCATTTGTAGTTGACTAGGCTCACAGTACCAAGCATGAATTCCCTCTTAATGAGTGGGCTTTATGTCCAGTTAGACAGCTGTTGATTGCCCTCAAGATATAAGTGCCACTATTGAACCTTTGGGGATACCTTACCTGTCATATCTGGGTAGGACTGTGGTCTTAGCCAGGGTTTCGGTTGCTGTGAAGAGACACCATGATCATGGCAACTCTTTTTTTTTTCTTCTTTAAATAAATTTATTTATTTATTTATTTTACATTCTGGCTGCAGTTTCCCTCCTCTCCTTCTAGTCCCTCCCATCCCTCTGTTCCAAACCCCCAATGCACTCCTCCTCCACTTCTGTTTAGGAGAGGGCAGGTCTCTCATGATATCAATAAAACATGGCATAGCAAGTTTCAGTAAGGCTGAGCACCTCCCCATGTATTAAGGCTGGGCGAGGTGACCCAGTATCAGGAGTAGGGTCCCCAAAGCCTGTAAAAGAGTGGGAGACAGCCCCTGTTCCTATTGTTAGGAGTCCCACAAGAGGACCAAACTACACAACTGTCACATGTATACAGAGTGCCTAGATCAGTCCCATGCAGGCTCTCTGGTTGTCTGTTCTGTCTCTGTGAGCCCCTATGAGCCCAGGCTAGTTGATTCTGTGGGTTTTCTTGTGGTGTATTTGACCCCTCTGGCTCCTACACTCCTTCCTCCCCATCTTCTGCAGGATTCCCCGAACTCCACCTACTGTTTGGCTGTGGGTCTGCATCATTCATCAGTTGGTGGATGAAGGCTCTCTGATGACAATTAGTTTAGGCACCTGTCTGGTCACAGGAAATGGCCAG